ATCGTCATATAGCTACCAACAAGCATCTAGTAGGTACTCTTTCTAGCTCTGGCTCATAATGGCATCCTATCAACAAATCAAAGCTCAGAACAATTGCACACACCTTCAATTTCAATGGTCACTTCTAGGTCAACTGGGAGTCACAGTTGCGAGAGCGTCTAACTCCTCCCCGCTACCGGCATCATGAAAACTACATTTTCTTGAGGTGGCCGAAAAAAATTGGTTAGTGAGTGTGGTGCATTGCTTCACGGCCCAATAAATATCTACTTATGACCGAACATAGCGATTTAGGAGGTTTGTGACAGCCTCGATTGACTCTGATCCAGCCGGAAAACCTAATCCCCCATTACTAGAGTATCCCAGCACAAATTGTTTTTGTATCCGAACTTCGCAGCCCCTTCTTACCATGGAGAGGGCATAGTAATGCGAAACACCATACTGCTATCATACCCTCATCCAGCCGATAGCTCCTACCTTGATGTAGTGACCGGGGTTCGCATATCACAATGACCCAACCAGCTATACCGAATAATACGCTCGTCCCCACGAGGTCCAACCATGACAGAAATGTCTGCTGTTGGATAGTGTTACGACGAAAACTAGTCACCACTATAGTGTAAATTACTACACTATAATAAAGAGGCTGAGGGCGAAGTCGTACTGCTGCTAGCTGGATAGGGTATGATAACAGTAAGGTGTTTCCCTTGGATGACTAGCAGTTGGTAACCCATACCCGAAGGTTAGCGAACGCCGCTGGATTTCTGTTACGTCATCCGAACTGGTTAATGCGACAAGACTGATTCCAGCTGACCCTGACCATGATGAAGAGCGAAAGCAACTCACACGTAAAATAACCAAGAGTATTTGTAATAATCACAGGCATGTGGTGAGTGGTGAGAGCGAGAGTGAGAGAGATGACGAAGGTATCAGCGTTGAGTAACACCAGGTAACTAACTATTTAGGCTTATTAAGGATACCAGTAAGAAAAAATCGATGGTGAATGGAGCCAACACTGAGAAGGATGTGACGCTGATAACCTTCCTTGACAGGGGAGTAGAACGTTGAACAGAGCATAGCATTTTGCAGCACAATTCAACTGGCCTCCAGCAACTCTTCAGTTGCCCAACATACAGTTTGGACCTGAATGGGACGTAGATGTCAGTCCTCCAACTTTCCCTGAAGTTGAGAAAGCTGTATGGAACCTGAAATGACACACAACAGCAGGACGTGACGCTTTGACATCCGAAGTTTTCAAGGATGTAGGTAGGAAATCACTAATTACAGTGACGTCTATGGGAATCAGAGGTATTGAGATCACTGCTGATTTCAGTCTATACTATAAGAAGGGATAGACAACCATAGTGGGGGGGGGTGGTGGATTAGTTTGACTAATATTGTGTCCATGATTCTATGGTACATAGTTATCAGACACCTGACTGGAGCTCAAGAACAACAAACGCGAGAAAAGCAGACAGGTTACATATGTTGACGGGTATGTATCGATCATATTTTCACCCTCTGACGAATTTTGCAAGACAGACATACTTGCGGGCCGATGGTCGACACTTGCCATGTTTCTTGACGTGAAGGTGGCACTTGACTCTGTCGACCGTGAGTTGTTGTGGGAGTATTTGACTGTGAAGGGAGTACCGAGGAAGTTGATGACGCTAATCAAAGTTGTCTAGTCGAACTGACGCAACTGTGTCAGGAGAGAGTTGTTGTGTGAACTGACGACAACTAGTGGTGTCCGCAATGAATGCCCACTGTCACCGTTCTCATTTAACTTCATCATAGAGGTAGTAATGGACATACCGTAGGTACATTTAACTTCGGAGGGATTGACCCAGTATCTGGATATTATTCGGTTGATTTGGAGCATGTGGACGATATTGTCCTGCTAGGTAGATGTTGACAAAATGAATGATCTTCGAAAGGCGTTAAATGGATGTCTGTGTACGCGTGTCATGTGAAATGATGCTCCAGAACTGGTTGCTGCAAGTACTCCCAGCTTAGTGATAGGGAGGGAAATGCATCAGCTCGAACAGGCTAGTTGCTGACGAAATCCCGGCTCGGATACAGAGATGACTTCTACATACATTGTGCACACCAATTCACCGATCACCACCATCTGCGTTAACGACAGGCAAGATATCCGACTATCCGTCAAAGGAAGAGTAGACTGAGAGCTACACTCCCTTCTGTTCTGTTATATGGTTGTGACATGACCGTTGAAAGTAGGAGACATGAAGCGGTTACACAGTGCTGACTACAGATGTCTTCGTAGCACTGCTAGAGGTTAGTGGAATCACCGTGTGAACAATGTTGAGGTCTGGCGAAGGATACTATACAAGACAAGAGATTCGACTGGTGAGGTTGTAAACTTTAGTAGACAGACATGACTCGGACATGTGTGTTGCGCATGTCAATCCACCACCCACCTCGATGTGCCATGTTGGCGGGTGTAAAATTAGATGGGAAGAGAGTTCACAGTGACCAGATCAAGATGTGGCATCAATTGATGAAGTCCCTTACTCTTGGTCTGAACCGTGTGGTGAGATGTAGACTACCGGGCTGGAGTTACTGAGACGATAAGAACCAGTGGTTGAGGACTCCTGGCGACATGACTGAAAATCGGTTACAATGGTGCAGATGTATTCACTCTTTGACATTTTCTGAAGCTTGACTATTCGCACTATCTTTCATCGTTGAATTGCTGATTCTGTCACACAGCATTGTCTACTTCGATATCACCCATTTGCTGTCAACCTCTTCTCTGTAAATTGCCCTTGTATACCATACCTGTATGAAACCTGTATATTACCTGTGAAATTTAGTAACTTGAGCTGATGCATTTGCTTGCGTGGTTGTACGCTGTTTTTGGTATGTCTATCTGTCTTATAGCTTCTTTCTCGTAGCCCCATCGTAGCGTATCTATTTACAACATATAGGCAAGTTATTTTTGCCTCACCAATATTGAAGAGACCTTCCTGGTATTGTATGACGTCACTTAAGATTGTTGCCGACCAGGATAGCTCGTCTGGTCACTGTCTTATGGTGGCCTGTGTATTACGTCATGTCTTTCGGGTTGGTCACTGAAGAATTGGCAACACATACAAAATATCCTTTTTAGCGGATCACCTGATCCAAATTAAAGACAAGTAGAAAATTCATAAGAATGACTGTCTTGTAAATTGTCGTAAGATAAGTATGACTGCTTTTCTGTTTGCTCATTTGCCTTGACCTTACAAAGACTTAACGATACCACTGAGTGTTAAAAATAATTTAGACCAATTCAACAAGATTTTCAAGCTCTTCAGTAAAATAAGTTTACTCTTACTCCATCTCCTTTCATTGCCTTTCACCTTCAGCGCTCATGACAATTAGGAGACATCTGGTAGACAAATGAATTCATTTTATTCTACGAGAATGACAAATGTGTGGTGTTCATGAACACCTCTGGACTTACCGACATCCAAACATGAAATTTAAAACTACTCTCCTATCCACTGCACCACTGAAATGAGATCAGAGTGCCTGCAGTTTACAACTTTTAGATTATCAGTTACATGGAATTGTGTGGTTTATGTGATTGCTTATCGCATACGATGATAATAATAACCACCAGATTGTTTTATGCTTATAAACTTTATCTGACGTTCGTTCGCCAAAACGTGATCTATGTTACAGGGGACTTTTACGAAAGCTAGTAAGAGATAATTCCTAGTATGAATTTGCTTCCTGCTTAATTACCCTTGACAGAACTACTGAAGATTACTTTTCTGAAAGTAATCAGATAATTAGATCCTGTTTGACAGTGTATATAACAGCGTTATGTGCGTTATTAGACAGTGAGGTTTTACTTTTGTAGTAAATTGTGCTGTTTAACTGGTTTCGGAAATCTCGAAAAATCTCACCTATCTGCTCAATCGCGCTGTTACCTGTTGTAAAACTGTGCCAGAAGGCATCTGATATTAGTCAGGGTAGGACGTGGCATGGAGTTCCTGACTATTGGATGGGTTCATGTAGATCTCCTGGTTGGGATCAGCGAGACAACCGGAGTAGGTTGTTAGTGGTGTGGGTAAAACCAGTTGTAGTCACCCAGATGCAGTGGTGCCATGTCTACACATGAACCACAATATGGCATACCTTGATTCTCTTTACCTCATTTCCACTTTGTGTCATGAAGTTCCCGTGACTGCTGAAGCTGTTACTTTTGTTTGTCTTTTCTCTTTCTAGTCTCAACAAGCGGATGAGATTCGAATCTAAGGTTCATTAGTATGGAATCCAATGCTTACGCCAGTGAACTACAACTACTTTTTAAAGGCTAGCTGTCGATATGACTAAAATGCACAGACTGAATTGTAAGATCCTAAGAAAACGACCATATAGTCGTTTTTAACTCAAGAGAATGTCCCACTTGCTGGCAGTTAATTTCTGCTTGGTGCATTCCGTATCATTTAAGTGCAGAGTGCAGTTAACAGGAGCTGTCAGATGTAATTCGAGCTGCTAGTTTCCTATTCAATCTTTCTCTTGTATGTTCGACGTACGGAAAAATAAACTCAACTGGAAATAGGTTGGGTCAATAAGAATAATACTTCAAACACACCTTACTTTTACAGACCCTAATGCTGCACAACTATTCCCTCTTGATGTAGGGTATTCGCGATGAAACAATTGATGATGTACCAAGTGATAGGTTGAACTACATTCATGATTTTCTTTGGATTACTACACATTCATCCTGGGCAATGAAATATTGGATAAAAACAAGTAGTTGTGTGAATACTGATGAAATGCAACATATAAAACCAAGCTGTGTATGTGAAAAGCCGTAACGAAAAGTGCTAAATGAGATAATGAATTCAAGAAATTCGTCTGATTTTGAAGAGCAGGGTGAACAATACTTGGGTGCGAGCATACATTCTATCTGCTTGCAAACCAGTTCCATCCTGACCTCAGGCGTGCAACAGCTTGGTTCGATTACTATTGTCCGTGTATTGTTTGGATTCAACAACAAAATTGCATATCGTTAGGCTGTAGTTACGCTATAATCCTTATTTAATCTGTGATATATCCTTGCAATAACTTCGGTAGTCTGAAAAAGTTCTACGCATACCGTACCAGGAATTTCCTTTTGGAACGTTATTGCCAACAATTGAAAGAACTCGAAGGAGTGGAGTCGGTCGAATAACAAGATACAATGAATCAGAAGACATTCGTGGAATGGAAATTTGTTATATGGAAAAGGTACAGATATGTAACAGAAATCAGTCATAGAGACTAATTAGCGAAACTGATGCTAAGAAGTCAATGGATAGTGAGAATACAGTGGTAAAGTATTCATATAGAGTTTCACCTCATGGGGGATGTGACTGAAACTATTAGCACAGCACACTGAATAATAGTTCAAATGTTATCCACCTACTATTCCGTTACTTTCTGTTTCGTAGCTTCCTGAATCGAATACTGAAATACACTCTCCAACTTTTGCAAAGGTCACCATAGTTGTAACTTCTCTGAAATACGGAAAGAGCAAATCCGGATTACCTAGTGCCAGATATATCAAAGGTTGCTACTCAAGGATAGTCGGTGGCAATAATTCAAGTGTCACCTGGAATACGGGAACAACAATATGATCATCCCAAATTGATCTTAATCATTCATTGTCCCAGTCTTAAAACAGCCAAATCCTCCTACCATGAACACAACCGAACCATTCTGATGAACCGTATCCCAGATCATGAGTTCCATCATCATTAGGTGCCTGAGATAAGCTGGGAAACAACAAATCTAAGAAAATCAGGTGGGTTTCACACCTGGTCCTAGGTGCATCGCCCGTATCTTCACTATCCACCAGGTCCTGGAACACAGACAGACACATATAGTCCGACACTAGATGTATTTCTCAACTTGAGAAAGTCATTCGACTCCATCGATCGAGAGGTCTAATGCAAGGACCTCTCACTGAATGCGGGCTAGGTAATCACACCACTCTCTGCTGAACACTCAGTATTCGAACACCTGTGAGTGAGTCAGAGAACATGGTGAGGTGTGAGATGAGTTGTGTACGTCGAGTGGTGTCCATCAAGGATGTCCACCCTCTCCACTCTTATTTCACTTCGCCATATATATGTATTTATCGAAGTCTCCGTCTCCTCACTTAACTTTACACGAACTAAACTTTGTGTGGAAGACTCCCTAGTAGATGTAGACTACACAAATGACGTAGTCGTGTCGGGTGAAGATGTTGGCAGGATACAATCTTCAGGACGCATTGAGAGGCAATTTGAGAATGTTTGGAACATGTTTCTCATCACCGAAATACGAACTGTGGCGAATCGTCTGACAATATGGAGTGGTGTGGTTGAGTGTGTGTATCACCCCACTCACTTCGAGAGTCAGGTCAACCATGGTGCGTCAGTAACCGACGAAATTCCTGCACAGATACCAAAGCATCGATTGGCTTACACCATTTATGGTGCTGTGTGACACCTTACTGCTCATTAACAGTCGACAGTACTGTGCAGTAGTTCACTTTGTCCTACTGTATGACTGTGAAACATGACCATTAAGGTTCAAATACACACGAAAGCCTCACGTGTGACCACCGTTACCCTCACAGAATTACCCGTATGTTGTAGAACCACCACAGTAGTAATGTCGAGGTTAAGCATTGTCTTCAACATTTCGTTATTTACCTTATCGTTTCTTGTCTTCCGTTAACTTTCCACAAATTGTGATCATCATCTTCTATATTTTTAAATCTTTCAATTTGGTGTCTTCTACCTTGATGTGCTGAAGTGACGTGTGGCAACATGAATTGCTGCACAATACACATCTGGTCTTTTTTTGGTTCTGTTTCACTAATGCACGCAGCCTCCTGAGTAAATGAAGTGGTCAGTGGATAAAAGTTACTTCATTGTGTCCTGAAACTGGTTGTTCAATCTTTCAGTCTCTTAGTTCTCGAATATCGTGTTCCATTCAACAAGTGTTAAGTTCTGATCAAACAGATTGTTTATTACCCAGGGCTTTAGAAAGATCCTGTATTTTGTCACACTCCTCACCTGATGGGACTGTCATTTGCCAGACTTAGGTGAAGTTTCCTTGAGCAACAAATAAGTTATCGAGAAGTTGAAAGTTAGATGGGTTAATTTCATCAGCACATACATTGCAATGTTAGACAGACAAAGGGAACAAAGTAGGGTCTAACGAAAGTGAATCAGTTTAGATTGTTACCCTTACAACTGCCTGGGGAAGTGGATATAGTAATATTGGGCTGAACAAAAGTGTACTTGATTTAACAATTGATGAAGTTAAGGAAAATAGTTAAGACTTTGAAGATGACAAAGAATGTAAAAGCGTTTAATAGGAACGTTGACAGTGGCTAACCCCGATGATAGTCCACTGGGTTACAACTCTCCGTAATCTGTTGGGTGAGTTTTGTTTGAGGGTTTTAATAGACATTGTTTATTTGTTTGGCATCAGCTTTGTAGTCCGACACCACAGCAAGACTTCGTAAACAGCGGAGTCTAATACTTCTTTGAAGTCAAGAAATATGGCAAGTGTCAGGCACCACTATGCTAACGTTCCAGAACCTCTCAAGGCAGGATATACTTATCATATCCTTATCCAGGCGTGAAACTAGTGTGGGTTTCTCACCTTTTTTGAATTGCAGTATTACTTCCATCAAGAATGGAGTTTTGGAGCCTCGACATTGTGTTATTCAAGCTGATTCCCTAGCTGGTGTTACAGGAAAAATCTCTTTACTTCCTCATGAACGGAAGCCATCACTGATGTTCATTAGTGTACTGGAACTGCCTATTATGCTTGTAACTTAATAATACTTCAGTTATTCTAGCTAGTATGACCAGATCTGAAAACTGGAAGCAAGTCACTAGGTGTGGATGTTTAACCCTGTTCGATTTTTGAAGCAACCTTCTGAATTTTGGTGGAATTTTGAGGGTCAGTGTTCACATTCTTTTCTTGTAGAGAATAGAAAGTGAGCAGCAGAGTCATGGGTGTCACTCAGTTGAACTATATCCTAAAATAAGTTGCTCAACACTCCAATTATCCATCATGAGAGGCTATCAGGGGATTGTCTTTCTAAGCGACAGTCCTACCAAACGTCTTTTTTTACGGATCTATCTCTCTAATGTGTTTATCTCACTACTGAAGCCTAAGGACTTATTTTATGGGTATAAGTTTTCAATGGATAAATGGTCATTATCTTTGCAATAATTTCATCTCAGTGTCCTAGTTTTCTCATATTTCACTACATAAATCCTAGAAATTTGAATGGAGAATTCACGGTCTCTGGAGTCCTTGTCTTTTGCAGAGCTTGAAGCTTTGCTATCAAGGCAAATAGATTTACATAAGAGGTTTGTCGCACGTAATGCACTAGATTTGTTTCAGTCTTTTTTACAGACTGCCTGATTCAGGTGGAAAGTTATTGAAGTCTATCGAAAAGATTAAATCAATTTTGGCTGAGAAGAAGGTACTAAAGTTTTGGATCTACTTGCATGATGATTTCCTTCGGTTTGTCTAGGTCTGTACTTCCATAAAAGATACCGAAAGATATATGCTGTCAAACGAGCAGACGAAAGTCACTCAAGAATTATTGAGGTAATCCTGATCCTTCAATGAAATAAAGTGTAACTTTTCCAGGTCTACTTTGAAGCCTCAGGAAAATAATACAGTGAACAATGTCGATATAAATCTCGAAGATAATTACATAGATACTCTCTCAAACGTTCTCTCCAACATATCCGTCAACCTATGTAAGTATACACGTTTTTATCATCCTTATTTATATCATTCACTTTACTTGAGCATGATCTCTCTCACCAACCACGTACATGTTCATGCACTAGGCAATGAACCACACCTATTATTTCAAGGTCAGTAATGCTACCTGGTTGCTCAAATGGAGATAGGGGAAGTGAGGTTCTGTCATATGACCTACAGGTTGGAAGTCAATATCTTATACCACCGAAACACAGCTCCTAGTTATTCAATAACGTGTGGTTCTGTAGGTAACTGTTACATGACTCCCAAATTATTTGCTTGGTTTATGTATTGAAATTGATATGAAATAAAGTATAAAGTTTATCCAGTTCAAACGTTTTCGAGTGCAATCGCATCTTTATATTACAGGCATACACAAAAATGCTGACAGTTATACCGAAAATTTATTAAAATATGCAATCATGAAATAGGCTAGTATTTCTGGAACTGACTTACTGTACTCAATAGGTTTATTATGACTCAGTGTTTGGCTAGGATGTACACATTTCAAATGTAGCTAATTGGGTTAAATATTCGATTTCTAATCAGGCGTTTCAACAGAACTCCACTTACTGGCGGAGGGGGGTGTTCCATGGTCATGTAGAAAAGTATCATTAGCCGTTATGTAAAGTGGTATATCAGTATAAGATTAGAAGTTGAACATTGTGGTGGAGTATAGTCCGATTACGGTTCTTTTATCATATTTATCACAGTGAAATGGTACTATTCACTGAATGAAATTTTGATCACATTTTTGTTCTCATAATCATTATCAAGAAAGAACCTTAAGGGAATAAATTCCTATGAGTCTCAGTCAAGTATACAAGTTTGTATATGGTTATTCGGCTACATCATTATCTGTTTTATAGTTTTTGCGTTATCTTTTATCCACTGAAATATTTTGACGTTTAGCATGTAGTGGGAATCTCTCATCAATGTGTTAAATATATGTATTCTAGTTAACTAACTCTAAAATCTTCTGTTTTCATTAGTGAGCCTCTGAACTTTATCATGAAGCATACTTATTGAAGCAGTATTTCAAATGTATTCACTTACTGTAATTATTGGTCTTTTACAGTGAAACATTTCTGAGGGAAAATGATTTTATAAACTGATTAGAGATGGGTTTTTGTTACTGTAAATAAATAGGATTCCAGGACCACGGGCTATTTTGTCATCCATTAAGTGGAGTCATGTGTGATTTGCGAAAACTGGCGCGGAATCATGCTTCTGTTCCTGTCCACCTCAAGCAAAATATTAAGCCTCATCATCCTGGAGAGACTGAAAAATGCTCTGGATTCAACTGGATTACGACCAGAACAGGCTGGCTGGCTTCAGGAACCACAAATCACATGCGTATCAAATCGCAACGCTAAACATCATAAAATGGCAGTCAACTCTCTACTTCAACTTCATAGATTTTGAAAAGGCCTTCGATAGCGTCGACCGGAAAGTAATTTGACAGCTGCTACTTCAACACTATGGTTTTAGTGCCACAAATCTTTATCAACCTCAGTCAACAGCTATAAGCTATATGATGCTACATGCTAAGTGATTCACAATGGGATGCTTTTAAAGGAAAGACAGGAAGGAGTAAGACAAGGCTGCCACCTACTGTCACCAGTCATCTTCCTGATTGTGGTGAACTGGACTGATCTAAACCGGAGGAGTGAGAAGATGGGCATACGCTGGATGGACCGATGAAAAAACCCCAGAAGAAGATTTGGGTTTCGCCGATGATGATTGATGTCTAATGTCTCACAAACTCAAAGATTTAAAGGTAAAAACCAAGAAGTTGACGGAAGAGGCAGCAAAGACGAGAATTCAAGTGAATGTAGAAAAGACAGAGGTGATGAAGATACCCGACCAACATCATCATCAACAACAACAAGCATCGATCACCATGAACGGGAAAAATCTAAAGGACGTTGTCTCCTCACCTACCTACCTAGGCAGCATCGTTTCAGCTACAGGTGGCGGCACAGTCACAGATGAAGATGTCAAAGCCAGGATCGGAAAAGCAAGACAGGCATTCCTGCATTAACCTGAAATCAGTGTGGAGATCTGCACTCAGCATAAAGAAGATCTGAATTTTCAACACTAAAGTCAGTCAAGTCAGTGCTTTTATGTGATGGTTGAGAGACTTGGCGCGTTACGAAGAACATTTCCAACAAACTAAAAACATTCATCAACAGCTGCCTACGCTCGATACTAAAGATGACGATCAGATAGCCAGAACAATAAAAATAATCAACAAGGAATTCTGGCTGGGAACGAACCAACTAAGAACGTATCGCCCAACAAGTGTGCAGAAGAAAGTGGAGGTGGATTAGATTGGGCATAGACTGAGAGGACTGATTGGGGACATCATGCATCAGGCCCTCGAGTGGAACCCACATTGGAAACGATGAGTTGGGCGTCCCAGCTGAGGGTGGCATTGAGGAGATGGTGTGAGGAAGAAATGAAAACTTGTGGGCAAATGTGGAGCCAGGTTCGAGAGACTGGAGAGAAGAGAGTGAAATGGCGACGTGTAACTGAAGCCCTATGTTCCACTAGGAACTCAAGGGACAAATAATGGTAATAATAATGTGTACTAAGAATATCCGTTTTCCCTTATGGATGAACTGACATCACTGAATACTTTTAATGATGTGAATTATGAACTAATCTGAATTCCAAGCAGTTATATCTTATATTTTCTCGTACTAGTTTTATCATTGAAAAACCTGGATGATCTACCCTGCTAACTTTCTAGCTTATCAAATTTTTCTTCCTTGTTTGATCAATATTCCAATGGTACACTGTTTCGTTTTTTCATAACAAAATCATTGGCTTCTGTAACTTGTTATATTTTGCAATTTCGGATTTATACGGAAAATGGACAAGAGGATACATTTAATAGTTTACACTTTTTTGTAGGTCTAAAATTTTAACTGTACTCAAAATTGTGAAAAATCTAAATTTTTGACAAAAAGAAGGAATAGTCGTGTTTGTTTCCTAGCAGTATTCTTGTAGGGATTATCTTTTAGATTGTATACGTTTTACTTACTTGGACTGTTTGAAGTGGCCTAAGTTAATAAATTGGAACAGGTGACCAATGATCTGTGATGCTTGTTAGTAGTTATTAGTGAGGTGTATCTTTAACCCGAACAAAACTGTAGTTGAATAGATTTCGAATCTCAATGGAATGATTTGTTCTCCTTAGTTTACAGTCAATCAGTCATTAATGAAATCTGACCTTATATTACTGTGTATCTAATTGTATTGTCACACGTCACTACAGCACATCAAGGTAGAAGACACCAAGTTGAAAGATTTAAAAATATAGAAGATGATGATCACAATTTGTGGAAAGTTAACGGAAGGCAAGAAACTGCAAAGTAAATAACGAAATGTTTAAGACAATGCTTAACCTCAACAGTGGTGGTTCTACAACACACGGGTAATTGTGTGAGGGTAACGGTGGTCACACGTGAGGCTTTCGTGTGTATTTGAACCTTAATGGTCATGTTTCACAGTCATACAGTAGAACAAAGTGAACTACTGCACAGTACTGTCGACTGTTAATGAGCAGTAAGGTGTCACACAGCACCATAAATGGTGTAAGCCAATCGATGCTTTGGTATCTGTGCAGGAATTTCGTCGGTTACTGACGCACCATGGTTGACCTGACTCTCGAAGTGAGTGGGGTGATACACACACTCAACCACACCACTCCATATTGTCAGACGATTCGCCACAGTTCGTATTTCGGTGATGAGAAACATGTTCCAAACATTCTCAAATTGCCTCTCAATGCGTCCTGAAGATTGTATCCTGCCAACATCTTCACCCGACACGACTACGTCATTTGTGTAGTCTACATCTACTAGGGAGTCTTCCACACAAAGTTTAGTTCGTGTAAAGTTAAGTGAGGAGACGGAGACTTCGATAAATACATATATATGGCGAAGTGAAATAAGAGTGGAGAGGGTGGACATCCTTGATGGACACCACTCGACGTACACAACTCATCTCACACCTCACCATGTTCTCTGACTCACTCACAGGTGTTCGAATACTGAGTGTTCAGCAGAGAGTGGTGTGATTACCTAGCCCGCATTCAGTGAGAGGTCCTTGCATTAGACCTCTCGATCGATGGAGTCGAATGACTTTCTCAAGTTGAGAAATACATCTAGTGTCGGACTATATGTGTCTGTCTGTGTTCCAGGACCTGGTGGATAGTGAAGATACGGGCGATGCACCTAGGACCAGGTGTGAAACCCACCTAATTTTCTTAGATTTTGCTGTTTCTTAGCTAATCTAAGCCGTTTGTCGCTTGTCGATGTTGAGTTTTGTGACGTTGTGTTCTTAATGCTGAGGTTATAGATTTTAGTCTGTGGTGATGTTAAGTATGTATTGTTATGTTTTTTCTAATGGCACAGGAATTGCCGATCTTTTAATCTTTTCTGCTTGTTGTTATATATGAATTGACTTTGAAGTAATTTTTGCTCCGTTTAGACACCATTCAGATAACTAGCGAAACTTTCGGTATGTTGGATATTCATGGTATCTTATTTCTATACTCCCGAAAAGTTGTTTTTTATTTTTTGTTTGTTTATTGAACACATGTTTTATAAATTACCAGCCTTGTTTACATTTCTCTATTACAGCTAATTGTGATGTCACTGATTCAGAATCATATGTAAATTGTGATTCAATTCCATGTATATCGCTTGATGAGTATACGTCCATTAGACAGTCATTGAATCTTCCTTGCTCATATACATTAAGTTCATTTCGGTGGTTCACATTCGCTATTCGGTTTGTCGGCAATCTAGTTTATCTTTCTGTGGTCGATTGTAGGTAAGTGCTGGGGATAAATATTATAAAATAATTTAATCCTTTATGTTATTAGTTGTATTATCCCGTCTCTGATTACACTAAACTGACCGGTTTTTATTGGCATGTGGGCTACTGCGTGAATGCCTAGAAATTGTCTGTGCTTCAGTTTTGTGCTGATGATAGATAGTGGCTAGCAGGGGAATCCAGGACGCGTGATGTTTTTCTCACTAAGACGTCCGAGCATTACCCGCTCATGTTTGAGGCGATCTGTCTCGGGTTCGAGTCCAAGCGGGGACAAAATCTCACTGGGAAGCAAGTGCATCCAGCTGATGAGTCCCAAATAGGACAAAACATGCGCTGGCCGCGGAACCTGAAGGTCACGGGTTCGAACCCTGGTGGGGTCATGGGTGCGCACTGCTGAGGAGTCCCGTACTAGGATGAAACAGCTCTCCAGTGCTCCCAGGTTTCCTTTGTTCCTCCAACTGATGTAAGTCTACGATGAGTACCAACTTGAAGTTATACTTTTGATTGTTGCCGGTTCAATGCTCATTTTGACTGAAAAATCAGAAGACAGAACGCGCAAGACATTATTTTGTTTGCTATCGAGAGTGAATACCAATAAACATGTAAAGTCGTTATGAATAATTGTTCATTTATCTCACCAAAATAGGTGGTCCACACAGTGCACAGAAATAAAGCATATGTTATAAACCGTATTTTTTTGGGAAATCCCATTCTTCGACCCATGTAGAGAGTAACATTAATTAAAGTCTGTTGTTTTGACTGCTTTCTTCAAATCTATCTATCTTAGTATTGTTATTTCAAAATCCATTTAACTTCCAATGAGTCAACATTTATGCAGATCACATCACAGTTTAATTCAAAACAATAATATAAGAAGATGGGATTAATTAAATAGGACTATAGTTATTAATTGGGAAATCTTGAAATCATTAAAACTGTTCATAAATATACAAACCAAGTTTGGATTTGATAGTTGATAAAAGAATTTGGGGATTGGGTCAATGATATTCATTATTTTGGTATTTGTATTTCCTAATGAATATAAAACAAAATAAATTTATTGCAACCGATGTTTCGCTATTTAATATTAGTAGTTTTGAATTTTGAGGGAGTTGTGGTGATTTGGAAATATTTCAAGTTGTCATTCATCGTAGACTGAAATCAGTTGGAGGAACAAAGGAAACCTGGGAGCACTGGAGAGCTGTTTCGTTCTAGTATGGGACTCCTCAGCAGTGTGCACCCATGATCCCACCAGGGTTCGAACCCGCGACCTTCAGGTTCCGTGGCCAGCGCGATGCCGTTGAGCCACTGGGTCAGAATCCAACGATGACATTGGGTGGCGGTCGCGCTATGTCGTGAGATGATAGAAGTTGGAAATATGGACCATTGGATTCTGACCCAGTGGCTCAATGGTAAAGTGTTGACCACGGAATCTGAAGGTCGTGGGTCCGATCCCCGGCGGGGTCGTGGGTGCGCACTTCTGAGGACTCCCATACTAGGACGAAGCAGTTATTCAGTGTTCCCAGGTTTCCATTGTTCCTCCAACTGATGTCAGTCTACGATGAATAACAATTAGTAGTTTTGTCAGTTATAGTAAACCGGAATTTACAATATCAAAGCTTGATGTGTTCTTCTGCATGAATGATTCTACGTTGTCAAATTATTGGATAAAGATGATATCCATATCTATTGTATGTGTGATGAGTATGTGAGTCATGAACCTGAACAATAGTCGTCCCATGCACATCATACATCTCGGATGACAGTAGGAGAGTATTCTATAGAGTACTAAACACATTACAGAGCATCTTAGTTCATTTGAAGGACGAGGTCCTTCTAGATTCACAATCTAATTGTGTTTATATAATAAAATGCTCCGACTGCAATGTTAATATACATGCAGCAAACTTCACGTGAAACCAAAATTCGAAAAAGAGAACGTCGAAGGATTTCTACTCGACTCTCTATAAATCCACTAGGGTTGAAAAAGCTTGAAAACACTTCAACCACAGCTCTACATGCTATAATTTCTGGTTAGGTGGCCGATTTTGGCAATATTGAAATGAATCACAAGGGCTTTAGATATTGTAAAGCACTTCTCATAGCAGAATCTTTTCACATAAAGTGGAATCGAAATTTAAGAGTGAAACTTGGGCACTGTGGTAGAGTATAGTTCCCTTTTAGATTGTTTATTTGATATCCATCCACCCATCCATCCAAATCAACATAGGATCAGGCATTACTGCACAACCGTCTGAGTTGCCACAGCTCATATCAGTACATCAAGTAAAAAGGCAGTGAAGTGGGAGATGGGGACAAGAAAATTCAGTCAAAAGAAATATAAGTACGAAAAGAGGGAAAGGAAGAATGAGAAAATGGTGAGATTCAGTATAGTGTCGTTAAGATGAGGATAATATGTGTATACATTTGCGCCACTGACATCAGTTCTGAGCCATGTGATCACCTAGAGTTCCCAACCACTGGTTTCTCTTGTCCCACGGACCCGAACTGGCTATTCTGCATCGTCTCACATGGCTGAAACCAACAGTCAAAGACTTCATATATTGATGTCATGTTTTGGTCTGGCCGCCTCGAACCTTTTTCGAATCTGAACCTACTTCGGTGAACATTGAGTGATGTGGCAATCGGTGACTAGGCAGGCATACGTAATACGTGTCCCAACCATCTCAGTCGATGAAGGTTCACAACCGTGTCCCTAAAACTCTACACCTGACTTCAGCGTTAATCACGTGGTAACACCACGTGACGCATTATTATTTACCGGATGACGTTTCGAGCAGAATTTACTGCTCATCTATCAGAGTGCAATCAAAATTGTCGAGATAGGAATGAGGGAACGAAGTGTAACTTGACCTAGTTTCGAACCAACTCTACACACTATCATGCCATAAGAACAATCAGCATATGTAAACATACAAATCTCAATTTATAATTCACATACTCTTCACACATTAGAAACCTAGAAGCACTAAACAGCTTTTTCGTTCCAGAACGGGGTTCCTTAGCAGTGGGTCATTGGATTCCGGCTCAGTGGCTCAATGGTAACATGTTCGCTGCAGAACCTGAAGGTCCTGGATTCGATCCCTGGCGGCGGTGAGGAGTTCCATACTAAAACGAAACAGCTGTCCAGTGCTCGTAGGTTTCTATTGTTTCTCCAAATGATGTCAGTTTGTGATGAATACCAATCTAAAATCAATAAAAAAATCCCTACAAACCTCCGAATTGGATATCATCTTTGTTTGATGGTTTGACAAAGCAGTATCATTCATGCAGATGAACGTATATCAAGCTTGAATATTGTAAATTTCGGTTTACTGTAACCTTGATAAAGCTGTTAGCATTAAATAGCGAAACGTCAGTTACAGCAAATTTATTTTGTTTTACATTCATTGAGAAATACAAATACCAAAATAATGAAGATTAATAAAACCGTCTCTAACAGCAATTTCGTATCGAGAATATAGTCTCGATACTCTATGATCCTCTGTATTGATCTTGCCAGGAATAATAAACTTTATCCTCCGTAATCAATTTCTTTTCTAATCTTCATTACTCTGCTTCGAATGTAGTATAACTTCTCTTTTATACTTTTAGAGAGTTAGGAGTACTAAGCGGTGTAGCAACACCATGGAAACCAAAATGAGAAACAGTAGGACAAGCAAAGTAAAAACGAGTAATCGAACAGTTGGTTTTATGGGGTACATTCAAGAAGTCTTCATTATATTTTTATTATTTCTCATGAACGGGGGACACAGAAAAACCGTAGCATGACTGCTACTGGCTTCCATTCCAAACCATTTGTTATTTTCTGAAGCCATTGAATTGCATAGTCTTTCAGACAATATTCTGAATGTCTTATGACACTAACAGATGCTAACACAGCTAGTTTTGACAAGATACCTCGTTACACACTGACCATGATATTCATAGCACATGTCCAAGCCATTGAAGCCAGTGTTTCAAAATGATATCATCCAGTGAATAACTATTTCCTCGAACTCTATGCACTTGGAGTCGTTTCTTTGAATTACTCACAAACCTTTTCCACTTTGTGCAAGCAGTTTCTTCGGCCACAATGTTGATTGAACAAAAGGCCATTGAAAATCCTCTGCTTGGAGAGGTTAGGTTCCACAGGCGTAGAGCAGAACTATCCACATCAGAATGTTGTATACTAAACTTTTACTGTCATACTAACTTCACGACGGTACCATAAGTGAACCAAATCAACGTATTCCACTCTGGCTTTCTGTGTAAAGTTAGAAATCTTATTTGTCACACCTCCGCCAGCACTCACATAACTAGCTAAGTATACAAACTTTATGACCACTTTTAACGGTTCACTGCTAAGAGTAAATGTAGACAAAAGCTTCTACCAGTATTGTAAAAGCACTTTGCACCCCATCAGTGCTATATGTAGGAAAACTGATCACCAACTGGTGAAGTGGGATTTAAGCAGCCTGTATGTTGTCGCACAGCGAGATGCTATCTTCTGCATAGTGGAGATCGAAAGTCATTCATCTGGTAACGGGACCTACACCGTCACCATGTACCTCATTTGAAACTGTCTCCGATTGTGAAGTTAAATGCAGATGGTAAAACCGGACAACCCTGCCTAGTTCACTGCTGGTCCCGAATTATGAAGAGTGATGACTATATTTCCTCATTTTACCTGAAGTGTGTTTATATATATCACCTTCAAGATGTCAATATGCTTCTCAAAGACATGTTTCCCTAACAAACTATTTCAGGTTATAATCCTGTCCAAACGATCTAAAGCAGTCCTGATATCGAGAAAGACAATAAATATTAACCTGAAGTACGTAAAACGGTGTTCTCACATTTGGCGGAGGGTGAACAGATGGTCAATGCATCCACCACTTGAGTAAAACTCAAACCTTCCTCACAAAGTAGTTGTCTTTGCATTTTGCCAAGTTTGGGAAGTATGGTAGCGACCAATATTTTCGATGCAATTGCTAGTAGATCGATGCCTTAATGATTGTCTCATTCCCGATTGATGTAACGCCTTCAATCTGTCATACTCTATGAGATAGTCTTATCAGTTCCCGGAAATCGGAGTGTTTTCTGGACTGAGTGCTTTTTAGTGTTTCAGTTTCTACAGATTCTTTTAGACCTCTGTAAGGTGGGTTAGCACTAACTGACCTCTGATCACAAGAAAATTAGGTTAAAGAGCGGTAAACCAGCTAAACTGCTCGAAGTGCAATGCGTAGCATTTCTGGCACGTACAAAGGTTGTCAATTGGGATATCGTCTAACTCACAAACCCTCTCATTAATATTAAGCTTCTTGCTAGCATACATGACCTGAAACGGGTTTTGGATTGAAGCTGGATGAAGTGACGTTTCCTCCCCATTTGCACGTGCTAACCAGTAATCCTCACCATTCTTATGTAAGTTCTATGCGAATTTTTGTGTAAGAGAATTCTGAATACCATTGTGCTCGCAGGCTTCCTGGAATAGGTCGATTATAGTCAGAAACTTGTAAGGAATTGATAGTGGTAGTCTTAGTTAGTGGAGTGTCCTTTAAAACTGCAGGCAGCCTTACTACGTTCATGGTCTTTTCTAAGTTCTTTTAATACCCGTCTACACTGTTTGGAGAAGTGGAATCTAGAGTTTAGGTTAACGCTGTTGTTTAATCGATGGTTCTCAATAAATTCTATTGAAGAATGGGTATTGATAATGCGGTTAATCTGCTTCCAGTGTTGAGTTGATGGTAGTAATTGTGAATCTATTGAGTGTATCGCTATTTCGTTAAAGTTTATGGTAAGTGGGAAGTAGTAGTCGTCATATTATACGTGGATAAATCATTAGACATTACCAGTTTTATTGATAAGTATTTCTTGAATACGCCATAAAGTCTGCTGCATTTAGCCAAACTTCACCAACTGAACCTCAGCTTCTTTTAATATGACTGTGTTGCCAGTCATTATTTGTAGAATTTCAAGAACGAGTAGAAATAGAGAGATTCATTCCTTTTTCGTGTGATTATTTGTTCTCATTAGGTCCCAGTAATCTAAAAAGTAGTTTCTATGAGATTCATGGGATTTCTTTTTCCATAGTTGAGCACATGAACCAATCCGATTGGTTTTATGACGTCGGATTTGTCCAATCAAGTCATCATGTCAGTACGTGCATAAATCGTGATCAGAAAACAATTTCTCTATTGGCTGCCTTTTTGCCTCTACCTGTCAGTAATATTAACATCACTTCCAAACGATAATATGTCGTTCTATGAGTAAATCACTCCTTGAGCCTTTAACTCAAAGTTTATTCTGCAAAGCAGTAAAGCAATATCAGGAGTTGCCTTTGCATACTTACTGTAATGACCACCATTTAAATTATAGTCAGTCACAGCTTTTTAACAGAAGGTATGAACTCATAAATGTATGAGAACAGTTTGTATGATTTACCAGAGCATTTAGAGTATTAAAAATTCTGACATAAAGAAAAGCTTTTTCAGCGATATATATATTCATCTTCAAGTGCCTGTTACGAACATTTCTTCTCAACCATCCAAAGGTGTATCGTGATAAAACTTTATTGTTTGGCAGAAATGCTTAGTATCATTAAATTTTACTATGATAACTTGGTACTGTTTTATATATAATATGTTCATATACACAGACATCACTTGACAGTTTTATGTAACTGAAGTATTTACTTAGTTTATATAAAAGAAACGTTAACAGACTATTTATTATTATTTTCGTTAATTTTAGAGATCCAAATAGGAATCTTTTACGTGTTGGCCTTGCTAAGACATGGTTTCCCGGTTGGGATTCCTTCAATACAGTGAGTAAAGTTATGTGTATATAAAGAAATAATATTTAATGTGATGAGGATAATTCTTTTATCAGTCCTTATTTTGTCTAGGTTAACTGGAAATTTCGATCTTGAACAAAGAAAGAACTTTAAAATAATTGAATTACATTTTTCACTTTTTTGTACTTGCTAGTTTATTTTTTTTATTTTTTTCTCTCCTAACTTATCTGAGAAGTATGTTAGCATTTAAAAAGTAAGTGTCTCTTGGCAATTTCAAACTGAACACAGACAATAGGTGATGTATTTGAAATTGTGAAGTTGTGACTTATTGGTTTACGGAGTTAATTTTCAATTAGTTGATCATGGTATATGCAGCTGATGAGTCCCAAACAGGACGAAATGCTCATCCTGGATTCCACTGCTAGCCACGATCCATCATTGATAATTGGTCATTGGTTCAAATAATTATTCTACTAACTATAAACAGATTTTTAGGAATCCCAATTTATGACAATTACTTTCTGTCGTTAACGTTTACAGTAGTTGTGTAATGTTGATAAGGACCCTTCAAAAAGTATGGAAGTATAATTTCATCAATAATGTAATCTAAAATGTTTAGGTTTCCGTTTAAAAACATACTTTTTCACTTCCAGTTAGTGGTTGAAAGGGTGATCAGTCTTATCTTCTTTCTTTTGGACCAAAATTGTTTTTAACACATAACCGATAGAAGTTATCATGGCTATTTGAATTTTAGTGGTCATTTCTCTACAGTTCAACAAGGACTATATTTTGGTTCTTCATTTGTAATACATAGAATAACTTTCATCAGTAATTCAATTATTTCATATAAGGTCTACTGTGAAAACAGCGGTAAAGACAGGTTAGAAAACGTCACTGGATTTCTGTTACGTCATCCGAACTGATTAATGCGACAAGACTGATTCCAGCTGACCCTGACCATGATGAAGAGCGAAAGCAACTCACACGTAAAATAACCAAGAGTATTTGCAATAATCGCAGGTAGTGGTGAGAGCGAGAGTGAGAGTCAGGGAGATGACGAAGGTATCAGCGTTGAGTAACACCAGGTAACTAACTATTTAGGCTTATTAAGGATACCGGTAAGAAAAAGTCGATGGTGAATGGAGCCAACACTGAGAAGGATGTGACGCTGATAACCTTCCTTGACAGGGGAGTAGAACGTTGAACAGAGCATAGCATTTTGCAGCACAATTCAACTGGCCTCCAGCAACTCTTCAGTTGCCCAACATACAGTTTGGACCTGAATGGGACTTAGATGTCAGTCCTCCAACTTTCCCTGAAGTTGAGAAAGCTGTATGGAACCTGAAATGACACACAACAGCAGGACGTGACGCTTTGACATCCGAAGTTTTCAAGGATGTAGGTAGGAAATCACTAATTACAGTGACGTCTATGGGAATCAGAGGTATTGAGATCACTGCTGATTTCAGTCTATACTATAAGAAGGGATAGACAACCATAGTGGGGGGGGGTGGTGGATTAGTTTGACTAATATTGTGTCCATGATTCTATGGTACATAGTTATCAGACACCTGACTGGAGCTCAAGAACAACAAACGCGAGAAAAGCAGACAGGTTACATATGTTGACGGGTATGTATCGATCATATTTTCACCCTCTGACGAATTTTGCAAGACAGACATACTTGCGGGCCGATGGTCGACACTTGCCATGTTTCTTGACGTGAAGGTGGCACTTGACTCTGTCGACCGTGAGTTGTTGTGGGAGTATTTGACTGTGAAGGGAGTACCGAGGAAGTTGATGACGCTAATCAAAGTTGTCTAGTCGAACTGACGCAACTGTGTCAGGAGAGAGTTGTTGTGTGAACTGACGACAACTAGTGGTGTCCGCAATGAATGCCCACTGTCACCGTTCTCATTTAACTTCATCATAGAGGTAGTAATGGACATACCGTAGGTACATTTAACTTCGGAGGGATTGACCCAGTATCTGGATATTATTCGGTTGATTTGGAGCATGTGGACGATATTGTCCTGCTGTTGAACAGAAATAAGTTTATATTTTGCTTGCGTTTCACTTTCGTCAAATGTGAAATAATGCTGTAGGACTGGTCTGCAACTCCTCTCCGTTTGATATATCAGGAGGGAAGTGGTAGAATATGTCGACGACTTCAGTTACTTGGGAGGCTACGTCTTCTTATGTCATCGTGTCATTGGTAATTATTTTTCCATAGCAGAGATGAAAAGTGATCATTAAATTTTCTATCGATTTCATAAAGTTCAGCTGACTAACTTCTCTGCCTTATGTAATAGCTGTCGTGATCTTTATGGTCATGTATTTGTGAAATCTTTACAAGATGAATTTCTTGGCAGTTGAATAACCATTTTAAGCAAAAAGTGCTAACAGAATGTTGTTTCTTTCTATTGTTTGCTATGCGTTTATAATCCGTCTCAGAATATACAGAAAGCGATGCATACATACATCCTTCCTTTGTCAGGTACACAACTTGTATTGACTCATGTTCTAACTCATAATATACATTATTTTTTTTATGTTGAAATTATTATCATTTGTATTTTTCTTTTTCAAACTAGAAATTTATACCTGATGAAAATGTACAAATAAAAAAGATATCACTCTGTCAACCAACTCATGCATTACATGATTTATGGCTGTTTTTATCAACAGGTACTGATCAAAATACAATAGTATTATCAAATAAAGAGGTATACTGTCTTATATGTTATCCATTAAACAATAATAACACTAATCCGGATGATATAATCTGTCTTAGCCGATTGATACGTTCTACTCGTCATTCAAATATTGTTCGATCAATTCAACCATATGATTGTTATTTCACTAATGCTCAATACGCTTTGATAACAATTGTCTCCAATGGTTGTAATGATAATAATCTTGATAAAATTGTTCATTTCATGAATGATATGAAAAAACGAACTAATAATGAATTATCAATTAACAATAATAATAATAATAATAATAATAATAATAATATCAATAATAAGGTTACTACTTTTACTAATGATATAACAGTGATCGGTGAACAATTTATTAAAGAATGTTGTAAACTCTCTGAATTATTATTTTATCAATCACCTACCGATGATAATATTAACAAGACACAAAGCATAAAATTACGATATTTTTCAACTCCAATGGATTATTTAAAATTATCTAAAGTTAAAACAATGATATGGATGGAGGTAAGGTTTATTAAATTTTTCTGATTATTCTCGAATTCTGTTTTTTTTTTGTTACTATTATTATTACGATGATGATGATGCTACATTGTGTAACATCTCTCCTGTAAATATACACAGTATCCAGTAAATAGTGGTGTTTCTCTATGTAACAGATCTAATAAATATACTAGGATGAAATTATAATCTACCACACTGTCTAGTAGAACAGAGTACAGAATAGAAGTCAACTCTACCTCAACTTTATCGACTTTGAAAAGGCCTTTGACAGCGTCGACTGAGAAGTAATTTGGCAGCTACTGCTTCAGTACTACGGTTTCAGTGCCACAAATCTTTATCAGCATCATTCAACACCAGCTATATGCTATATGATGAGGCTACATGCTAAGTGATTCACTGTACAATGGAAGGCTCAGCTCAGTGATAGATTTGAAGTGAAGACAGGAAGGAGTAAGACAAGGTTGCCGCCTACTATCACCGATCACCTTCCTGATTGTGGTCGACTGGACTGAACTGGACGACACAACAAACTGTGAGGAGCTGTGAGAAGATAGGCATACTCTGGCTGGACCGATGAAAAGAGCCTGGAAGATTTGGATCTCGCCGATGGTGATTTATGTCTAGTGTCTTGTCTCACAGACTCGAAGATGTACAGGCGAAAACCAACAAGTTGGCGGAAGAGGCGAGGCGATGCAGGGCAGCGAAGACGTGACTTCCTTGAGGTGAATGTAGAGAAGACAGAGATGATGAAGATATTCAAACAACAACAGCAACAACAACAACAAGAAGCACCAATCACCATCAATGGGAGAAATGTAAGCGAAGTATTTCCTTTCACGTACCACGTAGGCAGCATCGCATCGTTTCAACTACAGTTAGGGGTACTGACACAGATGAGTATGTCAAAGCCAGGATCGGAAAGATAGCAAGATAGGCTTTCCTGCATTAATTTGAATTTGGCCGATGATGATGATTTACGCCTATCTTGTGGCCTAAACTCGAAGATCCACAGGTGAAAACTAACAAGTTGACAGAAGAGGCGAGGCAGCGAAAACGGGACTTCAAGTGAATGTAGAGAAGACAGAGGTGATGAAGATACCCAACCAACAACAGCAACAAACACCAATCACCATGAACGGGAAAAACCTAAATGAAGTAGTCTGTTTCACCTACCTAGGGAGCATCGTTCCAACTACATGTAGCGGTACAGGCACAGATGAGGATGTCAAAACCAGGATCGGAAAATCAAGACAGGCTTTCATTAATCTGAAATCAGTGTGGAGACCTACTGCACTCAGCACAAAGAAGAAGATCCTGATTTTTAACACCAATGTCAAATCAGTGCTGCTATATGGTTCAGAAACTTGGCGCGTCACGAAAAGCTTTTTCAACAAACGATAGACATACATCACCAACAGCTACCTACGCTATCTCGATACTGAAGATCAGATGGCCAGAATAGTAGGAATAAGCAACAAGGAACTCTGGCTGGGAACGAATCAACGAAGCAAGAACCTGTCGCCCAACAAATATGCAGAAGAAAGTGGAGATGGATTGGACTCAGTATACACTGAGGAGGCCGACTGGGGGCATCACGCACCAGGCCAGGCCCTCGAGTGGAACCCAAATGAGAAACGACGAGTTGGGCGTTCGAGACGAGGATGATATGGAGGGAATGGTGTGAGGAAGAAATGAAAGCTTGTGGGCAGTCGTGGCACGAGGTTGAAAAGATTGCGGAAAAGAGAGTGCAATGGAGGCGTGCTACTGAATCCCCTATGTTCCACTAGGAACCCGAAGGGAAAAAAATAGTAATAATACAGTGTCTAGGTTTTACTTCTCACTGATTTAAACGTGCAGCTCTTGACCGTCGGTTTATGTGGGCTGTAATTCCTTTCAGCTAACAACCTTCAATGTCAATTTTTCATGTTGGTGTGTGTACTAACTATAATGCATACGTGTTATTCTTGCTTTTGATCTATAGCAGAAGTGAAGAAGAGCCCAATAAGTAATTAAAGTTGTTTATTGAGAAAATACAACTAATAATGGTAAAATTTCTTCACCTAGCAATAATTTATCCATTTCTAAATTATCTCTTGTTCTGCATGTCATTCCATCCACTTTGTGTGCTTTGTATTCATATCCAGTATTCTCACTAATCTGTCTTTCTCACTTTTGACATTGCTATGTGTAGTACTTATATGCATTCTTATAGGTGGTAACTCTCATTACGTAACTACTTTTGGTTTACTTTATTCTATTTTCTTATTTCCAAGTTCTTTATAAGCTAGTAGAGAGACATTCAATTACTTCTCATACAATTCTATTTTTTGCACTTTATCTACGTTTTTAGAAGTAGGGTTTACTTATAGATTATCGCAGTGTGTCTTGTAACTGGCGCCTGAATATGGAATCATACAGTTTAGTATTTTGGAATACGCCAGTAATAACTGTTGTGGCGTATTAATCTTTTCTCAGAAGATTTCTACTCATGTAATAATACTGTATGATTATAATGGTCCCTTAATAGTTAGGATTTATGCAACAATGATGGTGGTAATAGTATCACATTACTGCATTAAGTAATAATCACAAATGGACAAGTTTTGTTAATGAAATTGTTATTTAGTATTAAATACGTTCAATCGGCCTGCTTTACTAACATCAAAATGTTAAGGACTTTCATCTTGCTTACTTAGTGGGTGTCCACAACCCATCCACTTACCTGCAGTTGATTAATAATTAAATTTTTGAGTCATTGGCTTAATCTCACCAATTTATACGTGGATCTTATCTGAATGTTTTTTTTTATTTCTTAGAAGTAACTAGTAGCTTTTTAGCAAATTTAAAGAATACTTACTACTTACAGTTATTGGTTAAGCAGTTTACTGTGAATATCTCGACTTATCTTCGTAGACGTAGTATAGGTTGGCTTACAAAATACAGTTATTTCAACGCACCAAAGATGTAAACAGCATGGAAAATAAACCACATAATACAATTGGTAGATGGACCTACCATAATTGTGTTCACACATTGGTGCGATTGTGATAATGAAATGGAAGAAGCATATTAAGAAATAAAGTACATTTCAGATATGTATGATAGTGCGTTAAGGAAAGGGTTCTTACAGCAAAGCTTGTGGTGCGTCTTTCGGTGCCCATACTGAACCAGGTTTCTGTTCCAAATAAACGTAATAATGATACATTTATAATACAAAGAATAGCTGTGTTCATGATAATAATTCATATATGTGAATGTCTAAATTGTTTGTCATTATTATCCTTGAGATATATACGTTATACCGTTGACTATTTATCGGAGTGCGGAGCGTGCGTTTAGAAAACACACACTAACGAGATCTAAAGAATGGATTGAAAGTAATACACATAATTTATAAATAAAATGGTATACAATCCCCTCAACGCGTGCATACTCTGAATAAAGCATCTCTATAAACATGTACGTATGGGAGCTGGGTATTTCGATCTAATATATGTGTGTCGAAACCTACTTGTGAAACACTTCAATTTTTAATACATTGATTATTCCCATTTAGACATTTAGAAAAAGACTGATTGAGCGAGTGAAGAAATATATTCCTTTTCAATTAGGTCTTCATCTTAGGCTTTACACTAATATATAAGTTTACAATTTGATCAAATTACCAATCACATGGTGATGTTTCGGAAATAATGATGTTAAGTAATCAATAGAGTTACTAAAATAGGAAATATGAATATTGATAAAACAAGAAAGGGAAGAGGCGTACAAAGTAAACCTAGAAGTTACATCATGTTGACGGCCACTGTAATGAAAGTGGTCGAACAAACTTCTTTTGGATACGAAGGCTAGGTTTGTGAAGGTGGATTGCAATCACCTCTGTTATGTGAAGTAACCGAGTGCGTAATCCATGAAGTAAATTAATTGGAATCTGATGAATAATTTTGAATACTTTTCTAGTATCCACTTGGTATCCTGTGTCAACTAAGTGTGCAAGTATGGAGCTCTTTATAGTTCTAATTTGTCCCTTGTTCAACCATGATGAGTGGTGCTCAGAAATTCGACGATGGAACTTCCTCATTGTGCGCTCAATGTAACTAGCTTCACAGGAGCAGTTGTTAACCACTTTAAAGTGATCTTTTTACCTTATATGTTTGACAAAAACTGTGGAAAATAAATAAATTTGTCTCCTTAAATGCTTAGATTATGTGTAGATCTATTGTTTTTCAACCAGGTTAACGACATTATTATATCATATAGGCTAACTTTAATTCAAGTAATAAATAACAACTTAATGAAAATTGAATTTTTTTTCAATTGTTAACTTGGAGAACGGAGCTGACTAATTTCGCTTACCATATGGCCTCCTTGCAACAATGTCATATATTATAATTATCATTTTGATAATATTTAGTGTTGGGTAGCTGTTGAATCCAGAATGCATATTTGTGATTATCTATGCCTTGTCGGCCAAAATATCCATCGAAACTAACTAATACAGTCCTTAAGATCAACAGCAGAAAACTTCAAGGTTCATCTTAAGTCAGTGCCTATAAAATAAGATGTAGTTATAATAGTTCAGCAACCTAGAGGTAATACAATTCGAAATTAAATAACTAACTGGGGTTGAAAAGTTCCAAACCGCTTCAGCTAAGTAGTGTTACTTAGCCTCGCACAATGAGTTTTGGTTGTATCCCTAGACCGAAGGAATAAGAGACATAACAAGTCAATTTCGAATGTCCTTCGTATGCCTTTCTTTGTTCACATTCTGATTAGACCGCTTTAAGGCCTTCTGTATTTCCCTATGTATTTTGCTAAGTACAAATAGTATTATACTGTGTCGGCTAGCCATCCAAATTCTCGCGCTTACTCAATCACTTGATGTGACATTCGTGGCTGTGGTATCAGTTCGCATATATATTAACTCATGCTTCTCCTTCAACTCATCACAGCCGAAGGTAAAACGACTTCTCTCATTACTTGAGGCGTGGATATATGTGAGGTGTGGTTCATCGCTTTAGGCAGATGACTTACAACCCAGGGTACATAGATTTAAGCACCCTTCCACTTACCGAGGTTTGGGCAGCCGTGTATTATCATTAAGCCTCACATAATAGGTGTGACTCATTGCCTACTTCACGAACGTGTACAAGGTTACTGAGTACGTTCTAATTTTTCATGAAACTGTACTTGATTGTTAGGTTCCAATTAACACTAACCCTGGAAGCTCATGTGAGTGATCTTAACTACTCTGAATTGTTTCGCGACCCAGTTATCAATAATTCAGAAAAAAAGTATAGAAGAAACTGGAAGAAATTTATTGCTAAGGTAACTGACTGTAAAAATGAATGAGAATGCTTGTATATAAGTATTGTGTTTTCAAAAGTGATCATGTACATGGATCATAGAGTATACAAACTTACGGAGAAATAATTAAGTTTCTGTGTTCACTTTCAACCCTTCTAAATGGTCTCACGATAATTTGTGGTTGTTTTAAATTGAGTTTTTGGGAAGATATTTGTTTTTTCTAACAATCAGATAACACTTACACTTACTTCTAGTTTTCAGTAAGGACAAGAACATTTGATGGGATGTTGGCACATCTATCTGATAAGTCCTAAAAAGGATGAAACATCATCTATCAACATAGGACTAAGCATTACTACTTAACAGTCCGAGTTGCCACAGCTCATATCAGTACATCAAGTAGAAAGGTAGTGAGGTGAAAGATGAAGATAAGAAAATTCGGTTGAAAGAAATATAAAGTACGAAAAAAGAGAAAGAATGAATGACAAAATGGTGAGATTCAGTAAAGCGTCGTTAAGATGAGGATAATATGTGTATACATTTGCGCCACTGACATCAGTTCTGAGCCATGTGATCATCTAGAGTTCCCAACCACTGGTTTCTCTTGTCCCACGGCCCCGAACTGGCTATTCTGCATCACCCCAGATGGCTCAAACCAATAATCAAAGACTTCATATATTGGTGTCATGTTTTGGTCTGGCCGCCTCGAACCTTTTTTGAGTCTGAACCTACTTCGGTGAACATTGAGTGATGTGGCAATCGGTGACTAGGCAGGCATACGTAATACGTGTCCTAACCATCTCAGTCGATGAAGGCTCATAACCATGTCAACTGACTCAATTAACCTCTTCTCCCTAACACTTTATATCTAACTTCTGCGTTACTCACGTGGTGACACCACGGAATACGGTTCATACTACGAAGGCGACGGTGGTCAAACACCTGAAGCCTTCTCATGTCTTTCACTTTCAATGGCCATGTTTCACAGCCATACAATAGAGCAGAGCAGACTGCTGTGCAGTACACGTGACTCTTAATAAACAGTTGGATATCACGGCGGCGCCACAGGCGGCGTAAGTTGGCAAAGGCAGCCGAGCCTTTTGCATTTGTGCAGAGATTTCATCTGCCACTGAGGCCACCAGGGCTAATCCTACTTCCTAGGTAAGTGAAGTAGGATTCTCTGGGATTCCACTGCTGGATATCAATAAATCCTAAAACATTTTTGTCTGAAGTCTGTTACCTAAGGTTTATAAGTTGACGATAATGTACTCTAACGTTATACTCAAATTTATACTTGTCATTCGTTGTTTAATTCTTTAATAAACTTTTAACAGGCTCCTATGGAGTTATACTTGTTGCGCCAGCTCAAAAGTGCTTGCAGTATCATGGCAAATAAATCCACATTGACATCAGCAAACAATCTGCTCAATGGTTTGAATAAAATACCTGATGAAATTTTGCGGCGGTTGGCTCTTGTTGGCTTGGGCAGAACTCGCTTAATCCGTTTATCTGGTTTAGGTGGATGGAAAGGTTTTGCAGGCTTTTTAGCTTTTCGTCCATCTCCAACTATTTCACAAAATATTACGACTACCAGTTATACGATCAATAATAATTCTAATGGAAAAGCTTTTGTTACTGATGATTTGGAAGTTATTCGCATACTGTTTGCTTACTTTCGAAATGTTTATATGTAAGTGATTTCATACCTATATTTTTAATGCCTAAAGTAGTTTTGTATTGAATTTATTCTACATTATGATACATCAAATTCCTATTCTCAAATACTTGGCATGATTAAAGATGATTCTATTCCATCTGGACAAGATACTGCATGCAATCACTTTTGATAGGAAGAATTGCTTTATTTCTTTCTCGAGAAATTGGTTTCAATCTGCTTCAGTATTCTGTGGACATATATATGTATAACTCAATAATCGTTTGAAGCCATTAATTATCGTGAAAGTTAACCCCCTGACTGCCTCATTTCACTTTGGATGATTTGGGCATATCATAGTTCTCATACATAGCCTCTTTATGAACACTAAACTCTGCTGCTTTATTGCAGACATCATGTTCTGTTTTTTCTTTCATTTGGTTAGGGTTGTTGAATTATTTGTCATTATCTTTATATCTCATAGTAGATTATTATTGTTATAGAGATTAAACTATGCATATAGTTTTTGAGTTGCTGAATAACCTTGTAATTAACTCAGTGAATCCATGCATAGCGTTCAGGTTTGTCTCACTTAACTTTCTCAACTTGTTACTAATCGGTTAAGATGCGAATTTAACTTGACTTTTTGTTAGTTAGTTATGTAACAGATTTATCTTCTATACCGGAGATACTGTTAAATAATTCAAGAGTGTTACTGAGAATAAGTTCTGGACGGTTAATTCATCTAGAATACTCTCCTGAAAATACAAATATATACTAACCTTCAGTATTTGATTAAGTTCACTTGTTTACAGAGTTTATGAAGAGTTTGTGTTACCCATCATTGAAATCTACTTTGATTACAATGAAATAGATGTTCTAAGTTCCAAAACGGTGTACAATCAAGAAAAAGGGAAAATAAACTATCTTTTAGTTAACTATTCTTACTGTATACTTCGTTTAAGGGATAACCTGTTAACTGAAAGAAAAAGTTTTTATTACTACCTCTTATAATGTATTTTGAATTATTTCTAAATATTTTTTTCAACTAATCATAAGGTAAACTATCAAAGTTTAATCACATTCACTAGGAACTGTCCAGTTGAATAGCAATTCCAAACTGTTATTATACATTTGGACGTGAGTAATTTATTTGCTTACTTTTTTAGATATTTTGAGCCATATCATTTAATTACAAACAAGGTTCTACAGACAGTTTTCAACATGACATTCATACTAGTCGTTCATTAAACTATCAACTTAAATAATGATGGTTTTTGTTATCGCATTTTTTCTTCTTCTTCTTCTTCTTAGGCACCTTGATCGTCATGAAAAGTGTTATGTGGAAAATAATACAAATTATAGTCAACAGATAAAACCATTCAAATCTCATCTATCCAATAAATTGGGTAACCCACTACTGTTATCCAATATAGATTATTTTAATGATACTAAAACCCAATTCAGTAGTAATAATAATAATGATAAAAATGATCATTACAACCAATTATATCATGAAAAAATTCAAGCATGGACATCTTCTGGTAATCAAGTATACGATCCATTCGGTCATCGTCAGTTATGCCGTCTTAGTATGGAACAGTCAATGGATTTAATGAAAAAAGTTCAAGTAAACTATGAAGTAAGTAATTAGGACTTTTTCTCTGGAATGTATTGATCACTTCACTTACTTGAGGAGTTGCGTCAACTCTAACACATTTTTTCCCAACGAAATCTCAGCTCGGATATAGAAGTCTGGTTTGGCATTTGCTGATAGGCGAGATATCCGACTATTTGTCAAAGGATGAGTATACTGCGCTGTAGTCCATTCTGTTCTGTTATACGGCTGTAGAAGACATGAAGTAGTTACAGGTTTTTGATCGCAGATATCTTTGTAGCGTCGATCACGTTTGGTGGATTCACCGTCTCAGCATTGGTAAAGTCAAGTGAAGAGTACCACACAAGACAAACAAGTCGATTGATGGAGTTATGAACCTTAGTATACTTAGATGAGTTGGACATGTACTGCGCATGCCGAGCCACTTCCTATCATGTTAGGCAAAGTTGAAAAAGAGTGAAATAGAGTTCAGAGTGGCTTAATCAAGGTTTGGCACCAGTCGATGACGTCCCTTTCTGTTGGTGTGAGGCGTGTTGAGAGATGTAGACTACCTGGTTGGGGTCCTCGAAAAGAAAGTAATCAGTCGCATGACTGCAAATTGGTCACTGTAACTCAGATGTGTTCACTCCTCGATGTCTTTTAAAGCTTGAAAATTTACACTAACCGTTATCTTCAGGTTGTTTATCCTCTCAAACAACTTTGTCATTTTTGATATCATCGTTTTTCTATCCACCTATTCTCTGTATATACTACTATGAAGTGTGGAATTTTGAATCGATGTAAGCGAGCTTCTAAGTTGGTTTTGTCTGTTTGCCTGTCGTTAAAAAAAGTATATTTTCGTATCCAACTATTCAATGCAGTTAAAATAATATCATTTATCACCAGTATTAGTGTCATTATTTGTATTATAACGTCGCTGATCAGACCGAATTGATCGGTCTCTATTGGCATATGGGCCCCTGTGCGGATGCCTCGATATTACCTGTGTTCTAATGATATTTAGGATGGATGGTGGCTAGCAGTGGAACCCAGGATGCACATTTCGTCCTATCTGGGACTCATCAGCTGGATGTACCTACCTCCCAGTGAGTGATGTTATTCCCAATGGGATTCGGACTCACAACAATCCTAAAACTATACCCATCGCACAAGAAGTGCCTATCGTGACTCGGTGGTCTAGTGGATAACGTTCTGGTGTTTGAAGTGATCGGTTCCGAGTCCGAATCCCGGTGGGAATAACATCACTTACTGGGAGGGAGGTACATTCAGCTGATGAGTCCCAAATAGGATGAAATGTGCATTCTGGATTCCACTGCTAGCCATTATCCATCCTTACTATCATCAGTATTGTAGCTTATCAACCTAATACAATTTCACATAACAGTCTACCAACTACATTCATCTATCTAAACTTTACCAGGTAGAACGAAATTCGAACTTGTAGCGCATCAGATGAGTTCTTAACTCAGTAAGTAATAGCTTCAAGTGGGATCTCCAGTCTAATAAAAGAATTTAGATTTTTCATTTCTAACTGTTGAGAGATGATTTCGAAACAACGCTATCTTGACTGTTATAAGTACTCTGGTAATAATTTTAGTCTTCCCATACTACATATACCTCAGTAAATAAATTCCGACCATTTCGATGTAATCTTCAGTCATGAGTTAAAATATATCTGGCTTAGGTATAACTTTTGAACAATAGTATATCTTGAATACTTATTAGTTTGTTTCCAAAGTGTAATACATTATAAGTAAATATTTTGTAATAATATATTTGGCATTTGGTGTTATTCGTTTAATTGATTACCCCATAATTACTGCTAAAATTCCTCTTGATTTCTTGGTTATCATCCCGTATACTCTGTTGAAGAAACTATGGTTTGCACGGTGAAACTGTCAAAGATATCTTGTTTTGATTTCCTAACCAGGCTGGGATTATAGTAAAGTGTACTCTTATAATGAACCTCGCCTAGGTAACTAGTTCACTAGTTACTAGCCGGTCCTAAGCCCGAGTAAAGAGGGAACATTGGCCGTAGGGCTAGCAATCATACCCCGGAAAACCGATCCGACCACTAAAGAAACTTCAAAGCACAAAGAAAATATAAAAAATAAAAACAAACTTATTCCTCGCTGGAATCGGAGAGACGAAATGACGCCAGTTGCTGAATGATTTCGGGAAGCCAGTTGGCCTATGTGTCTTCTTTCGCGTTAGAAGCGATCGCTCCCGAGTCCAAATCCTGGTGGGAACAACATCACTCACTGGGAGGCAGGTACATCCAGCTGACGAGACCCAAATAGGACGAAATGCGCATCGTGGATTCCATTGATACCCACTACCCATCATTGCTAAGTGTTTGTTGCTGGATTTCAACGTGGCTTACATCACAAATCAATACCACGTGGAGAATCACTGAAAAGTCGGGGGCACTGAACAGCTGTTCCAGTCTACGTTGTAGTCAACGAGATATGATAGTCTTGTGTTCTATTTCCGTTGAGTTCATGTGTGCTGACGGCTGAGGAATCTTAATCTTGGACGAAACATCTATTCACTTCTATCAGGCTCGCAACAGTTCTTTAGCTATCTTCACTCTGTAATTTGAAGATGTTTGAATACTTTGTTTCTGTTCTTTTTCTTCATATTTAGAATTGTCGAATCAAATACAAGTTACCATCGTACCCCAGCATGCCCACAGAAGTGGCCAAGTTGAATCGGTTAGTCTGTTCATTATCGCTGTTACTAGTTTTAAAATATATGCTCTATGCTAGTTCTATTTTACTTGTTAACAGATTCAGGAGTTCAATTATGACTCGTTTGAAAGGATTCGTTTATCGCCTAAGACTGACCATGAATACTACGGAAACATTTTTGAAGATTACGCTCATTTAAAGGATGTAGATGAATTAGTTATTTTAGGTTATCTGTACTTGTTACTACAATTTGATCCTTTGGTGAGGCCCTAGTTTTGCGTAAAACATCGTTATCAATCTTGATATGAGCCTAGAGAGAAAAGCCCTAGTCTGGCGATCAGCGACCAATCAAAATACACTTTATGTTTTCACGTCTACAGTTAAATAGACAGACGCTGGATCAGCCAATCAATATTATCATTTTAAACAGTGAACTATATATATATATATATATATATATATATATATATATATATATATATATCGGGTGACTGTGATGGCCACTCTAGCAACACTCGAAATGACCAATTAGACTTCTTCATTTCGACCGGAAAGTCTAATTGGTCATTTCAGTTGTTGCTAGGGTGCCCTTTAAAGTCACTCCTTTCATCAGAACTTATATGAATCAGCCGTTTCGGTAAGTCAATACAATACAGTAAAGCTTCAACTCTAGTTTTATGAGTTGACATTCAATTTCGTTTGAATGACTAGTTGGTGATGTGAAGATAGTAACACAACTATATTTTTATACAAATACCAAATAGACTATATTTGTGCTAAGTGAAGATCTACAGACGAAAACCAACAAGTTGACAGAAGAGGCAGGGCAGCGTTGACGGGACTTCCCTCAGGTGAACGTAGAGAAGACAGAGGTGATGAAGATACCCGAACCAACCAACAACAATAACAAGCTCCAGTAACCATCAATAGGAGAAATATGAAGTAAATAGTCTCTTTCACCTACCTACCTAGGCAGCATCGTTTCAACTACTGATAGCCGCACAGGCACAGATGAGGACGTCAAAGCCAGCCAGGATCGGAAAAGCAAAACAGGCCTTCATCAACCTGAAACCAGTGTGGAGATCTACTGCGCTCAGCATAAAGGACAAGATCTGGATTTCCAACACTAAAACCAGTCAAGTCATTAATTCTTTGTGATGGTTGAGAGACTTGGGTTGTTGCGGAAAGCATTTCCAACAAACTATAGACATTTATCAACAGCTGCTTACGCTCACTCGATAATGAAGATGCTGGTCAGATGACCAGAATAATAAGAATAAGCAAGGAGGAACTCTGGCTGTTTGGTAATGAGCCAACGAGGCAAGAACCTATCGCCCAACAAATGTGAAGAAGAAGGAAGTGGAGATGGATTTGACTGGGTATGCACTGGGAAAACCGTTTGGGGACATCACGCGTCAGGCCGTCGAGTTGAACCGAAACGGGAAATGACGAGTTGGGCGTCCGAGGCGAGGGTGACATGGAGGAGATGGTGTGAGGAAGAGATGAAAGCTTCTGGGCAGTTGTGTAGCCAGGTTATAAAGATTGGAGAGAAGAAAGTAAAGTGACGACGTGCTAGTGAATCCCTATGATCCAGTAGGAACCTAAAGGACAAATAAGAAATAATAAGTGAACTGATATTTCTCATAGTGTGTATAGAGTTACGAATGCGATCGATGGAAACTAGTGTATTCTATGTGATAAGTAAATGATATTTAAGCTCTGTTCACAAAACTAGGCCACTACTTAAACTTGGTTTCTTATTTTAGTGCGCCCATCGACAGGGTAGCAACTGCATAGATTAAAAGCGTGCATAAAATAGCATAGGGAATGTGAGCATTCATTACGATTTCATTTTTTTGAAACATAGTTTCACTCATAACATCTTGACATTTCCCCCCTATGTTTTCTGATTCAGTTATCGTGATCCATCAGTACTATTAATGAAGGAAATGGGTTCATCTTCCTCTTCATCTTCTACATCATCAGATGCAGAAGACTCTGATTCCGGTGGTGATGACTCACTTAGACTTGAAGACGTAGACTAAATGTAGTGTTGGTGATATTTCATCCTCTTACTGTAATCTAATGTAAATATCTTTTTTCTCATGACTTTCTTCCTGATCAGATATACTTTGGAATCTGATATTTTCATAACACTGTTCGTTCGCAACATTTTATTTTTTGTTGACGCTTGGTGAAAGCAAGACCGATTCTTTTCGCGGTAGGCAAACATATAAGGTGGAAACATCACTGAATTAACGGGATAACGACGTTCAGAAAGACAGCTGAGTTTGGCTTATATGGCTTTTAAGTTAGTGTATAATTGATACTGTACACTGAGTTTTTTGAATTATGTCTGCTACTTTGTAATTCCTACTTCATGGGAAATGTTGAATGAGTAACCGAAAACATAATTTAAAATTTTTCGTCTTGATGGATAACAGCTGTGTATTCAACAGTTCATTTAACTTATAAATCAGATAAAAGAATCCAGCAGTGACCATTGTATAACACCAAAACGTAAAGAGTATCGTCAAATAAAGCAGACGATTTCTACAGTACCTGAAGGATAGTCCAAACTGGAGGCGTGATTTCTGTATTTATTGCTTGACTTAGGAGATTTTAACAGTTTACACACTGCTAGTAAACCAAATTTAAGATGATGGTGGTTCGATAAAATATGTGTTTTTAAGTCACAGCACTGTGAAACTCATAGGAATGCTCCCTGTGAATGAAGAAAATATCAAAACATTGCATATCCTTTTACGGCATATACTTAGTTCCAGGTACAGAGTGTTAATTACAGGCGTCTAGTGTATATACTCCGGAAGTGCTTCAACCCTGCTCCTCTAGAGGACCACGTCACCTCCATTACTGCCTTCCATCAACATCTGTAAACGTTGCAGGGACTGTGACAGAGCACTGCCACTAGTGTTGCACCTTGGAGTAGCCTTTGTATGTGATAGTTCTCGGACATTAGGGATTGGGTTCCGCATCCATCTGTTGACATTTGTAGCCAGTATGGAACTGAGTTACTTGTGTCTAATGTTTTCTGATGTTATGGTCGTGGTTGTTAGTGTCGTTTATCACAATATAGGGATCTTGTTTTTCTGAGGTGTTCAGCTGTCGTGCAGTCGTATCTTTCATGCTTTGCATTACGTTTTCACCATCATATTATGCGATCATAATATAACCAATATGCCAATAGATAACTGCACAGAACAATATATTCAGGAGACACAGAATACTCAAAAGAAGTATTTGAGGGCCTAAAAGGAACACTGAAGGGTCTACCAAGTTAGGGACTTCAGGGCATAGTATAACTGTGACTTGGGCTACAATGACAACTGATGTAATCACGGATAAACAGATAATGAGGAGACGTGTATACTGTGAACACGGTGGTGGGCAAATGAAATGAAGACAACCTTGGAAGAACACTCATACAGGAAGTTGTGGATGTGGTAGATGCTAGGTGGAAAGATGTAGAAAGCTTGTAACAAAAATGCAAAATGTAACTTGCTCTTTTAGGTGCCACACGCATGCCTTGTACTTCATCCAGCGCATGAAGCCCACTGAGAATCTGCTACTGTGGGGTCGTATAAAATCTAAAGTGACAGAAGTCTTTACCTGAGCGCTGTGGCGATATTTCTGATGGCAGGTTTCCCAGTTCCTAATATCCTCCATGTAATCAGCAAGTACATGTATGAGAAGCAGTCTAAAAGAATCATGTGGGAACTTGTTATGTATATTTTTGAAGAGCATAGGCAGTTATGCGCAAGTTAGCTTGTTACAGCTGAAAATGGATACAGTTTCAAAAAATCCTACCCAAGATCTTGTTCGCCTACTTTTTTCCTGATGCCACTGTGCTTACCTTTACCATATTTTGATGAGATTCCGTTGTTCAGTCAAATGTACTGGGATTTTCTAGGTTTCATATATAAAACAACTTTGTCCTTGTGTTGCGTTCTCTGTGCTGGATGGTTTAATTGTGCAGCTTTCATTGTCATCACAAACAAAATCATCGGCGCAAGCTTCAGAAAAAGTGGGGTTTTTAGTACAAGTAGCTTATTAGCTTGTCCTAATGCTCTTCAGTGTTGTCCTCTGTTTCTGTTAAAATCTTGTCATTGTCTTCATATTTACTTCGGTCGGTTGTCCACCTCGACCTTCACCTTGGTGTTTTGTTTCTTACCGGTTGATCAATTGTCAGGATGTCCGTTGATCTTGAATAGTGTAAATACGGAGAACACTAGAAAATTTTTAGAAGCTTGTTATTTAGGTCAGTCTGCAACCAGCAGATATATAGACACTGACCCAATTTATCAACCAGCAAGATAAAAAACATCAAGTTCCAAGCTTAGGGCTGACAACGATCCAGAGAACACAACATCAGTAGAATACTCTTGAGCTTCAAATATTCTTCATCTCAAAATTCTGCGAGCGCGGAACGTTACTCATTGTTCGGAAATGACACAACTCTGCCAAGTATCTGGCCTCAACAAGAGGACAGCTGTATTTCCCTTCCGAGTGTCGGAGGAACAAAATTGACTGGTTCCCACGTATGAACTGGTTATCTGTGGGTAGGTGAATAGATACAATATCTTTAGGTGACTAGTTTCTCCGTCAAGATCGACTCAGTATGGGTTTCTCTGGCGCATCGGCGTCTGGGGAAAACGTTCATACAGGCTGTCATAACATTTCCACTTGAATCACGGTTTGGTTGTTCGAGCCCCATCTTGACTGTATAACGACCTACAGGCTTTTCAAAAGCTCAGATATGAGTTACTTTGGGACCTAACACTTGACAAGTTCTGCACAGATGTTTCTCCATTCGCTAGTTTGGATCCATAGAAGAATGACTGTCTGATAAGACAGCTTTGCAGATGCTGACAGAACACTAAATTACTTTCGGTCGAAGCAAGCGCACTTTCATTATAGGGTCCTTAGGGTTCCGCGGGACACAACAGTCAATGAGGGGTTCTTTCAATTACCAAGAGAAGTGGGTATTACCAAGCAGTAACCTTCTTCTACTTTATTGGTACGCCTCTGAATTTTATCAGGTCTAGTCAGCTTTTGTCGCTAACTGCCTCCAGTAGGCTCACAAGACCTGCAGTCGTTTTACGCAAGACATGGGTTGGAAACGCGGGGACTTTAAGTGCCCCAACCGTGCCATAGTGGTCGCAGGAAAGTCTGGAAATCAATTAATGATTGCACCAACACTAAAGTCTCCTGGATCCGAGGTCGCATTTTGGTAATACCTGTGGTAGGCAGTGTGGTCTACTTTACATTAGCCGGTTAAATGCATTTGGCAACCAATATTTTTCTTCTGCCAGTATATCAGTGGCACAAAATGCCACACTCTGGAGTTGTATGGGAGCTACTAGCTGCGTATTCGGCTGTTGAGCATTTCAAACACGTTCGAAAAGTGAACATTTGTGGATGTTGTAGATGAAAGATTGCTGACTGATCACGTGACACCGAACAGGATAGGCACCCGAAGTTTGACATTTTAATCCCATGTCACAACTAACCGGCTACAGAATACTTGCTGGCGGTTCAGAGAACCACATTACTGCTCCTCCTTTTGGGATCCATGTAAACACAGTTCATCAATCCAGTATGAACTTGGAAGCCGAAATGTAACGGAAGGTTGAGAGACGGATTTTCCAAGAATAGCTATGGTCCTTGATATGATCAGCTTTAATCCCATTTACATGAGAAGCTGGTTTATTGTGACAACCGAGGATTCGTCTAAATTCGTTGTCCTTAAAAACATCGGAAAATTCATGTTCAACATCTCACATCCACTGCCATATTCGGGAGGATAAGCCTTAGCTAAAACAATTACTACTAAAAGAAGTTGACCTTACTTGCGGCCGGATATCCAGATGTCGGGAAAGAAGAATATGGGGTGTCAACAAGTGACGGCTAACATGCCCCAGTTCCTCTTCTTGGGACTTTTGTTCCCATAATCCTCTCCCATGGCTTTACCTCAACCTTAACAACAGGCTTCTTAGATGTTCTGTCATCAAACAACACAATACTGTTACATTGGTAACCTTACCAAAGGTCTCTCTTCAGAAGTGGGTATCCTCATCTGAAGTACCTATGATGGTAACCCCTTACAGATGAGTTCAGTTTGATTAAAAATACTTCAAAATCCAAATGAAATTACCTGGATCACATGGGGCTAGTTGCGTTTCTTACCATCCATAATCTAATGAGATGACAGAGGGATTCTATCACCTCAGTGTTCCCCTCTTATCCTACCACTGGAATGGTTTTTATTCTCAGCCCATGTGACGAACAAGAAATACAGTCAAAACAGCTTCACAATTTATGATGAACTAAACTGCTGAGTAGCGCGTAAAGAAGGTGCGGACTTCCATATTTCTGGCACCTAGATCTCAGCCTAGCAAATTCAGAACACTAGGATGGCAAGTAAGAACTATACGTCCAAGGCATGGTGAGCCTCTGTAAAAATCGCTCTCCATAGAAACATATACACACCTGATACGGTCATTAATCTTTGCTTTTATGGCTACTACGATTTCCAGTCATGACAAAATGCAGTGATGCGGCGAAGTTAAGCAAGATTTGCAGTTTATGTATAAATGTGGGTTAGATTAAATCAAACAGAAAAATAAACTAAGACGTCTTAATATTCCACGAGAATAAAAAAGTAAGAACCTGCAAACTGTGGATCATAGGCCGAAATAGTTTTCGGAGTGGTACCCACACCCTCGATCAAAAAGTTTAACCTTGGTGATGTGGGTGACTAGTTTAAACGGGCTAAGAAAGTGAATGGCTAATCTTAGATAAGCTTCTTCCCAGAAGCATACACAAGTGGTGTGGATTACCAAGGATAAGGACTCCTGCATATTTTTTGTGGGAAAGATGTCGTAGAATTCAACCCTTACTTAGTCGTTCACACAAAAGCCTATCAACTGCTAATCCGAGACGGTGAAAAATTTCGTCATTTACCAATCCACTTCAACCGAGCACTAATTATGGACAGACTAAAACCAGCGAATTCAGACAATGA